GTGGAAGCATCTTGGTATAATGTAGATTCTAAATTGTTCAAATAATGACCCCCGGGGGGAGGGCGGGGCCACAATGGGGAATCAAAGTTTTAGATAGAAATATATAGGAAAAATCTTTGAAAATCTTCTTCTCAAGAATCACTGGGCCAGAAAAAGTGAAGCTTATGTGGAAGCATTCTGGGGTAGTGTAAATTCTAAATTGTAGGAATCATGACCCCCGGGGGAAGGGCGGGGCCATTATAGGGAATCAAAGTTTTATATAGAAATATATAGGAAAAATCTTCTTCTCAGGAACCACTGGGCCAAAAAAGCTGAAACATATGTGCCCATGGAAGGATCATGGGGTAGTGTAGATTTCAAAATGTCTAAATTATTATCAGTGGAGTAGGGTGGGGATGCATTAAGTATAACAAGGGGGAAATCTAGTAAAGAACAGAATGGTCAACGCTTCTCAGGTGAGCGATGTGGCCCATGGGCCTCTTGTTTTTTTTTTTTTTTTTTTTTTTTTTTTTATACAAAACCTCATCTCCAGAGGTTAAATACATTGAAATTTTATCAGTAAGGATCTTCAGAAACGTATGTCCACAATCAAAGTTATATGAAACTGAGCAATCTGCTGATCACCAATGACAGAATAAAAGTGGAAAGTTTCATTATTATACTAAAGTAATTGGGTATAAGAGCAGTTTTCTGCATGATGTACATGTATGCTAAAAGATATGGAGATTACAAACAGTTTTGAAGCTTTAGAGTCCGTAAAACAAAACAAATATCAAAAAGCATAGTTTTTTTAAAGTGAGGAATGGTGACATAAAGTGTAAAAGAAAGTCGTGCATCAGAAAGTCTCCTTTCTATTTTTTTTTTATACGGAATTGTCATTTATAGGGAATGGTCAAATATTAAACTTAAAAAAATCTTTAGTTGAAGTTCCTCTAAATGTTTCTCCTTTATAGCTGTTAATCTTTCCGAAAAGTACATAAAAATACATGCAGGGTTTTGTTAGAGCATTTGATGGACCCTGCAAAACATCTTTTAAAGAACTTTGTGAAGAGTGTGATTCAGGTATGTAAAGGAGAGATCAAACCTACCTTGGATGACTGGAATATAAATGTAAATTCAGTGTTTTCTCATTAACGTGTATACTTATACATAGTGTTTAAGAGTTCAATAACTTGATACCGATATTTTCACGGTTTTGCTTTCCATCTTAATTTTTTCGTCAAAGAGTAGAGATTTCCATTAGAGAAGCTCTATATTTGGTATCAAAGTAATATGTTTGACAAACAACAGTTGCAAAACGAAATACTTATATTGAGAAACGCTAAATCATAAAGATAATGAATGTTTCAGACATCCCTTATAAAATGTGTTTTATGGCAAAATATGTTATAGAAAAAGGGTATATTACTTTAAAAATACTATAATGGTTTTCTGACATATTTGACGTATTATAACAACTGGATTTTCATACTCTACTATGAACTATTTATTTAGAGCAAACCCTGCTTTTCATACATGTAAGAAAAGAGGTCAAGTTGAAATAAAATATATCATGGATATAACGAACAGTATTTACGCTAAGAAGTCTATTTAACAGTTAAAAAACTGAAGCAGAGCAAACACGAACCTCCAAAACATCAGGGTTGGATCAGGTGCCAAGGAGAAGTGAGCATCCCCATAAGTAAAACGTAAAATTGATTTTAAGAAAATACAGGTATTTTCTGGCCTATTCAGTAATTATTGTATTTTCTAAACAGTCAGTAATTATTAATAATTGTTTTTCCTAAAACAATCAGTTAAACATGTACATATAAACACTGATTAGTTAAGGAAATACAAGAATTTCCTGATTTCATGTGTTTTACACTTGATCGCGTGTGGTTTGTTTACTCACAGCTAAATTCTATAACGTATCTCATAAGAATGTTGTAAAATCTTAATAGGATGGTAGTAAAATCAAAATTTACAACTTTCTATCATGATGAAAATTTTTTATTTCCTACCACTTGATTAATTCAGAATTTACAACATGACAAAGGAAAACAGTTTATGTAATTATATAAAGGAAATAAAACCCACCAACTACAACAATTAAAGGTTAAGGTAAATGTTATAATAAACTAGGGCTAATTGTAACGGGAACCGTTACAGATGTTCCCCAAACGCTCCCCAACTCCCTTTTGTGGCATATTCTCTGTACGCTTCATTAAATAAGACAAACACGATGCATTTTAGACTTTAACATTATTTACCCAGAAGTATATCAAGTTTATTCAAATTTCAGCATTGCACGCATGCGCATTTGAATGCATGTGCGTAATGACCATATCATCTTGTCTACACTATTCGTATATTTTAATATACTAAATATTACAACATTTATTCCATACGTATTTAAAAATATGTTTAATCCAGTGTATTTGTAATTTTACTCATTTCACGTGCACGCACGTGCATGCATGTGCATCATGATCATACACTATTGTAGGAGCCCATAATGTCTATCTGTGTTCTGAATCCCATCCTTTTTGGTTGAAAAATAAGGGAATTATAGCCATTTAAATTTTCAGCCAATCAAATTGCAGCGAACGTGCATGCGCGTGATTTCATGAAAATTATTATATATCATATTGTAGGACATCCTAAAGCATGCCTATGATTTAAATATCAAAGCATTTCCTCAAAAAACAATAAAGATATTGAAAATTTTGTTTCAGCCAATCAGAGCAAAGCGCACGTTCATGCACGTGCGAGCATGTGCATGATGACCATACCCTTTTGTAGGAGTCCATAATGTCTATCTATGTTCTGAATCCCATCCTGTTTGGTTGAAAAACAAGGGAGTTATCGCTATTTAAAGTTTTAGCCAATCAGATTGTAGCGCACGTGCATGCGCGTGCTTTCATGACAATTGTTATATATCATTTTGTAGGACATCCTAAAGTATGCCTATGTTTTAAATTTCAAAGCATTTCGTCAAAAAACAGAAAAGATATTGAGATTTTTGTTTCAGCCAATCAGAGTGAAGCGCACGTGCATGCGCGTGAGTTCTTGCTAATTTGACAGTGTCACATTATCTACACTATTAATATATCATTATATAATGAGTTTCAAGTCAATTCATTAAAAAATGTAAAAGTTATAGCTATATTAAGTATATCAGTCATTTCACTCATATCACGCGCACGCACGTGCACGCGTATGCGCGCAAAATGACCTTCGTTCCGCACACCTACACTACACACCCATTAACCCTAAAAAGGTTTTAGGTCAGTTGGGTGAACAGTTTCTGAGAACACTTCCGGACAAAAAAGTACCGGAGAACAAATAAGAAAAAAAAGAATAATAATAATAATAACTAGTGCTAATTGTAACGGGGACCGTTACAGATGTTCCCCAAATGCTCCCCAACTCCCTTTTGGTGCCATATTCCCTGTAAGCTTCATTAAATAAGACAAACTCTGTGCAGCTGAGATTTTAACAACATTTACAAAGAAGTGTACAAAAATCATTTAAACTTTAGCATTGCACGCGTGCACATGTGAATGCATTTGCGTCATGACCATATCATCTTGTCTACACAATCTATATTTTTAATACACTGAATATTAAAGTATTTAATCCAAAATTATTTAAAAAATACGCTCATTCAAGTGTATGTTTGATTTTACTCATTTCACGTGCACGCACGTGCATATATGAGCATGGTGACCATACCTACTTGTAGAAGTCCATTACATCTATCTATGTTCTAAATTCCATCCTGTTTGGGTGAAAACTAAGGGAGTTATAGCTGTTTAAAGTTTCAGCCAATCAGATTGCAGCACATGTACACGCACGTGTATGCATGTGCATGGTGACCATACCTACTTGTAGAAGTCCATTATATCTATCTATGTTCCAAATCCCATCCTGTTTGGTTGAAAACCAAGGGAGTTATAGCTGTTTAAAGTATCAGCCAATCAGATTGCAGCGCACGTGCATGCACGTGTTTTCATGATAATTGCTTTATTTCATGTTGTAGGATATCCTAATGCATGGCTATGTTCAAAATTTCAAAGGATTTCGTCAAAAAACAAGAAAGATATTGAGACTTTCGTTGCAGCCAATCAGAGCGAAGTGCACGTGCATGCGCGTGAGATCGTGCTATTTTCACCATGTCGTCATGTCTATACTACTAATACATCCTCACATTATGAGTTTCAAAGCATTATATATAAAAAAAGAAAAGTTGTGGCTATATCTATTATATTGGTCATTTCACGTGTTGCACGTGCACGCTCTTGCAAGCACGTGCGCGCAAAATGACCTTGATTCCGCAAATCTACATAACATGTCTACTAACCCTAAAAAGGTTTTACCTACATCGGACGAACAGTTTACAAGATCATTCCCGGACAAAAAAGTTCCAGGAAGAAGAAGAAGAAGAAGAAGAAGAAGAAGAAAAATAATAATAATAATAAGAAACAGAGTAAAAACAATATGTTCCCCAACTTCGTTTGGGGAACATAATAATAAGAAACCGAGTAAAAACAATATGTTCCCAAACTCCGTTTGGGGAACATAATAACTTGGACTTAAAAACATGTATAAACCTGACAAGCAAGATTAATACTTCATTCTATTAAACTGGCAAAAGCATAAATTTTAAAAGTTTTGAAAGAAATATTAAAGTTAAGTACATCTACCAGAAGGAAAGTGGTGTTGTGTTCTTTTTAACTTCAACACAATTAGGCCTTAGTTAGTACATTGTAACTTCCTACAGCATAAAGTCCGACAGACAAGATGTTAACGTTTCCGCTTTCCCCTTCCTTTTATTTGTCTGACGTACTGTGTGGACGAAGTTTTCATAGTCACCAGAACTTGAGATAATTAAACATTTCAATATGTTGCTACTCTTGCAAACTCTCGTAATTATTTACTTAATAAGTAAGTGTGTCCTACTTTAAAGGATAAAATGGAAGGAGTGATCTTTCCTTGAACATTTATTGTTAACTTTGAACATTGTAAACATGTATCACATTCATGGTTTATGCCTATTGATATAAAATATCGGTGTGATTTTTTTCACCAGTTTCAGAAATCCCTAAGACAGATTCAAAACCGAAGCGGAATGAAAACAGACTTAAAGGTAGGCTTTTCTATATAATAAACATACTTTTTTTTCTCTATTTACAAAAAGATACATGTAATTTACAATCACTTACATAATCAAAAATGATATTAAAAGATTACTGTAGTTCTGTGTTCGTGGTTTATGCCCAATGCTATAAAATATCGATGTGATTTTTTTCAAGTTTCAGAAATCTCTAAGGCCAATTTAAAACCTAAGCGGAATGAACACAAACTTAAAGGTAGGATTTTCTAGGTATTAAACATACTTTATTTACAAAAAATTACAACCACTTACTTATCACAAATGATTACGATATTTTTTGCAATAATGAATTATATTGATGTAGTTTTGATGTCTATATAATTATATAGTAGTACGAGATTTGAAGCAAGGCAAACATATTATTTGCAAAAAAGTGCTTATAGGATATACTGCTTGAGTCAAATAGAATACATTATTTAAACGTAATTAAAACATACGTACATAGCAAAACAGGTCCTTCATTGTATAATTATAAAGGTTACCAGAAAAATATCGATGGGTTCGAAAAAGCTATAACACAATTTTTTCAGCATTTCAGTAAACATTTATGTATATTTTGTATACTCTATTTAAAATCCCCAATTTGCAAATGTCAAAATTATTTGTTTATGAAATAGCATGTACATTCTTAAATGGGTAAGGATGATCGTTTCTTAAATATAGTTGGCAGCAGACTGTGCCACAATAAACATGTGTCTCTGCATAAAGTATGCTTTATCTCTACCGTGTGTTCAAAAATGTAGCTATTAAAATAATGAGAAGTATAACTTTTGGGGCTTGTTGATAGCCTTCTCATGGAACTGTAGGTTGTGACAAAGGAGCACGTGGAAACTGCAAAAACACTGGAAGAAAGAAGGGAAACGTTCAGAGCTGTCGCTGTGATTTACCCTGCATAAAACTTGATGACTGTTGTCACGACTTCATTGAAACATGCGGAGAAAGTAAGACAAAGTACATGTACTTCATAATACAGTAAAACTCGGTTATATCGAAGTCACTGGGGCCTATGAAATTACTTTGCTATATCCCTAATTCGTTATATCCATATAAGAAATTCGTTAAATTTATATACTCAGTAGCTGGGGATCCAAGAGAGCTTCGCTTTATTCGTTTTATTACCAAGCAAGTTTTACTGTAGGGTTCTTTGTATTAATAATATAATTTATATATACTACATGTATTATGCCATTAAGTATTTTGCCACTGAACGTTAAATTAAAAAAAATCAAGAAATTTTAGATTAAAAGTATATACAGTTATGTGCGTGTATTGTTTAAAATTGTTACATTTTTAACACTATAAAAGATATGATTTCATATGTATACAAGACAAAAAAATATTCCTACCGGGTATGTTAACAAAAAATATATTTTCGTTTCTCTTAATTTTAGTACTGACTGGTAACGGTAGCGATGTATTGACCACTGGTTTGCTGAAACCTCGACTTACAACTCAGAAAGAAGTCAGAGATCCGTCAAGGACTCAATTTTTCACTACTCATCCTGTAACTATCAAAATGATTCCAGGGCCTTCACTCTCCACTACAGAGATTACAATGAAGTCGACATTGAAAGTAGCTTTAGATACAACTTACCCTGTGTCGATCATCACGCACAGGAGCATACGGTTCTCCGTCCCTTACACCGGAAACAACAACACCGCTCACAACACAGCTGATGACGTCATTGAAACTTTTTCCCGCTATTAAAAATAACATAAATCAAACTACCACAGTTTTTGATAAGTCAACAACAGTTCAAGACGACGTCATTAAACATGTGACGATAATAAAGATTTTGCCGACAGGCGGTATGTACAGTTATATCAAAGAATTGTAAATAAAAAAAAAGAATTTCTCCAAGGTTTCAACACTCGCAAAAGATGGGAATATGTCTGGCTTATTTACGAATTGTAAGAAATAGTAAATTACATAAGGTGATTTTATTAACGACCGACAATTGGTTTTAGAAATGGCTTGCTTGCAAAAACAATAATTTTTTTCTTAATTAAGCAAGCATTTTAAAATTTCTAAACATACTGACTTCTGAGCTGGGTTTAATATTTTGAGGTTAGGCAACAGTGATCAGTTATTTCTGTGAAAAATGGTGTTGGATCCGTCCCATAACATTTTACACCTAGTTCTATGCAATGATCGGTAAATTAAGGACATATGCAACGTACAACACCAACTGATAATTTTTCAAGATATTCTTAATTTAAAAAAAACAAAAACAATAGTAATCATTAGATACTCACAAATTAAAAAAACCAAGCATGCACTAACAGGGGTTTTGAATAGATATCAACTGAAAAATCTTAAATTATTCATAGAAAAGATTTACGAAAATACTAGATATTTTTTCATCCACAATTTGATTAAGAGGTGTACAGCACCATATACAGACATTAAATGAGTCTTAAAAGTATCGAAATTCAACTCCAAAGAAAAAGAATACAAGCAAATTCAAAGAATTGTGGTCCCCCGCTTTCGGTGTCTTTGTTTGTGAGATGTCATTTTTAGCCGGGCTTATTGCTCAAAGAGCAATTGCCGGCGTATGTGATCCTGTTCAAGGCAGGATGTTAACCCAATAGTCGCCATTTTAAAGTTACGTGCAAAAATTTAGTTCTTACTCTCAACCGCTTTTGAGATAATACAAACGCTAAATAAAGCAACAAAAATAAAACGAAGTTTTATCTAAATAAAATAAACATTTGTAGTAATGACTTTGAAAACTTCATAAGTCAAAGAACATAGTTCATTTTTGATAATCAGTGTTACTAGTTCTCTACACATACGAGGTAAAGCAGGAGAGGGAACCAGACTGGCCTGTTTGTTTACATTCAGCTGCGGTACCAGATTAATTCTGATTCTGACAAAATCGGACCGTGGTATTAGGATTGAAAAACTCACTGTCAGTGTCTTATCATCTATATTGATAGTTTTAAAATATTTTTTTCATTAGAATATAAACGTGATTCATGTAAGAAATCCATTCTACTCTGTAAATGAGCCTCGCTCTCTGTACTTCTGAGTACTTTGATTATGACATATTGTGCCAAATATGAACACCCTATCTTATGTCATTTAGAAATTATCACCGAAGTTGAATTTTTTAAAAATAAGGTCAATCGTGAAGGTCAAGGTCAAGGAGTCAGAAATCATAGCATGCTCGGAAATATCTTGTCACAGGTAATGCACATGTTAAATATGAAAGCCCTATCTCTTCTCAATCAAAAGTTATAATGAGCAAGATGTGTTTGTTTAACACTGATGACACCATAAGGCAACATAGCGAAGATTAAACGTTTATGAAATGCAAATTAAATATATTGTTACCAGATGTAGGGTCTTCTCACAAGAAATACGATTGTGAAATACGAAAGACCTAGCACCACCTGTACAAAAGTTATGGCCAAGGATAAGTTTTAGAAAGGTATGTCAAACTCCAAGGTCAAAGGGTCAAAGTTGTTGGTTTCTAAAGAAAGGTCTTGTCACAAGGATTACATATGTAAAGTATGAAAGCCCTAGCCCTTACCGTTCAAAAGCTATGGCCAAGGTTAAAGTTTTTAAAAAGTAGTTCAAACTACAAGGTCAGAGGGTCAAAGTTCTTGATATCCAATGAAAGGTTTTGTCACAAGAGTTAAATATGTGGAGTGTGGGGGCCCTAGCCCTAACCCTTCAAAAGTTATGGCCAAAGTGATAGTTTTTAAATAGTAGGTCAAACTCAAAGGTCAGAGTCAGAGGGTCAAAGTTTTTGTTATCCAATGAAAGGTCTTGTCTCAAGGAATAAATATGTGAAGTATGAAAGCCTTAGCTCTTACTGTTTAAACGTTATGGCCAAAGTTCAAGTTTTTAAAAAGTAGCTGAAACTCCAAAGTCAAAGGGTCAAAGTTCTTGATATCCAAAGAAAGTCTTATCACAAGGAATAATTATATGGAGTGTGAAAGCCTTAGCACTTACTGTTGAAAAATTATGGCCAAGGTTAAAGTTTTTAAAAAGTAGGTCAAACTCCAAGGTCAAGGTCAGAGAGTCAAAGTTCTTTTTCAAATGAAAGGTCTTGTAACAAGGATTTAATACATGAAGTATGAAAGCCCTAGCCTTTAACGTTCAAAACGGAAGACCTTATTGTTTTCGTTCGGTTTCTTTTTCCTTATTATTATTATTAGGTCTTTCCACCTTTCGTGGAAAGACCTATTGGTATTCTTCTGTTTCTTATTATTCTTCTTATTTTTCCGCCGTGTGATTTTGAGTTTCAAGATATATTGAAGAGATTTATAGTCCATAAGAATGTACTACGTAAAAGATTTTTGCAGTTGACCCTGCGTGTATGAACCTTGACCCTTTCCGAAGTTATTGCCCCTTTTGCAAGAAATGCTTGTTATCGCTACTACTCCTAAACCGTAAACCATAGAGATATGAAACCTTCACTAAAGTCTTTGACTGATTGAGAAGACTCTTCATCTATTCATTGCGAAGGGATTTGTAAACCCCTTCTCTGAGTTATTGCCCCTGAAACTTTTTGAATTTTACAAATAATTAAAAATTTTCAAAACGAGTAGTCGTAGAGACATAGGACCAACTGCATAAGATTCATTGACCTTTGACCTTAAAATTTATGCAAAGGTCAAGGTCACTCCATTAAGCTCTTTTTATATCTGTTTTGTCTTTTAACATATACAATCAGTCTTTGCATCTTTAATATGTACCCTTAAATCTATTTCAAAGATTTCATTCTTGTCCCCGAAGATTGACCCTATTTAAAGTTATTGCCCCTTATGCGAAAAACCTTGTTATCGCTACTACTTCAAAATCGTAGACCGTAGAGACACCAAAACTTCACTATTGTGTTAAGGGTCTTTAGGCCTAACATCACTCTATAAATGCGAAAGGATCTGATTACCCCTTATATGAGTTATTGCCCTTTAACTTCTTTGTACTTAATATAAAACCTTATAACTTGAAAACTATAAGTCGTAGAAGCATGGGGTCAGTTGCATTGTGACCCTTGACATTTGACCTTGAAAATTTTTTCAAGGTCAAAGGTCAAGGTTATTTCAATTTTTTTTTTAATTTTTCATTTTTTCTATCCTTTTAGACAATTTTGGTTTCTTATTCATGGAATTTAATTTTAAGGAGTCATATATAAAACAACTTTGAAAAATTCAAAGAAGGTGGAAGGACCTCTTATTGTTCTGTGAACAATAAGTCTCCTAGTTAGGTCTTTCCACCTTTCTGTGGAAAGACCTATTGATTTCCTTCTGTTTCTTCTTTTTTATTATTTTTCCGCCGTGTGATTTTTTGTTTCAAGATTTATCGAAAAGATTTATAGTCCATAAGAATGTACGCCGTAAAGGATTATTGCAGTTCACCCTGCGTAAATGAACCTTGACCCCTTTAGAAGTTATTGCCCCTTTCGCAAGAAACGCTTGTTATCGCTACTCCTCAGAAACCATAAACCACAGAGGTATGAAACCTTCACTAATGTCTTTGACTACTTGAGAGGACCTTTCAATCTATTCATTGCGAAAGGATCCGAAGACCCCTTCCATGAGTTATTGCCCCTGAAACTTTTTAAATTTTACAAATAATTAAAAATTTTTAAAACGACAAGTTGTAGAGACATGGGACCAACTGCATAAGATTCATTAACCTTTGACCTTAAAATTCATGTAAAGGTCAAAGGTCAAGGTCATTCCAAAAATGAGAAATTTAGCTCTTTTTAAATCTCTTTTGTCTTTTAACATATATTTAATGTCTTTGCATCATTAATATGTACTCTTAAAACTGTTTCAAAGATTTCATTCTTGTCCCCTAACATTAACCCGTTTAAAAGTTATTGCCCCCTGTGCTAAAAACCTTGTTATCGCTACTCCTCCGAAACCGTAGACCGTAGAGACACCAAACCTTCCCTTATATCTTAAGGGTCTTTAGGCCTAATTTCACTGTATAAGTGCAAAAGGATCTGATGTCCCCTTATATGAGTTATTGCCCTTTAACTTCTTTGTACTTACTATTAAAGCTTATAACTTAAAAACTATAAGATGTAGAAGCGTGTGGTCAATTGCATTGTGACCCTTGACCTTTGACCTTGAATATTTTTTCAAGGTCAAAGGTCAAGGTCATTCTTTTTTTTATTGTTTTTTTAAATTTTCATTTTTTCTATGCTTTCAGAGAGTTTTGGTTTCTTTTTGATAGAGTTCATTTTTTTACGAGTCAGATATAAAACAAATTTGAAATTCAAAGAAGGTGGAAAGACCTCTTATTGTTCTGTGAACAATAAGTCTCCTAGTTATTTTTTATTATTTTTCCACCGTGTGATTTTGAGTTTCAAGATATATCGAAAAGATTGATAGTCCATAAGAATGTACTCTGTAAACGATTACTGCAGTTCACCCTGCGTAAATGAACCTTGACTGCTTTCGAAGTTATTGCCCCTTTCGAAAGAAATGCTTGTTATCGCTACTCCTTCGAAACCGTAAACCGTAGAGGTATGAAACCTTCACCAATGTCTTCGACTAAGTAAGGGGACTCTTCAATCTATTCATTGCGAGAGCATTCGGTGACCCCTTCAATGAGTTATTGCCCCTGAAACTTT